TTTTTTTTTAAATTCAATTTTTTCAAAAAAAAAAAAAAAAAAAAAAAAATAAAATTTATTCATAAAATTAAAAAATTATAATTGTTGATATCACTTTTTAAAAAAATTATATATCTTTTAATTTTATTAAAAAGAATTATAATTATATACTTATGAAGTGAAATATAGTTCGTTTAATATAAAAAAATATAGATTCCTTTTTTATAATTTATATATTAAAATTATTTTTTTTAAAAACATTTTTTATTTGTGAAATAGGAACATTTTACTAAAGATAGAATATTATTTAAACATTATATAAAAATAAAAATTATAGATAACTTTATATTTGAATTAAAAAAATAGAACTCTTTTTTCCTTTTTTATTTTTATAAGATATTAAAATATAACTTAAAGAATGATACTTCCAATTACTAGAGTTGTTTTTATTAAAAATAAATCAAATGATAAAGTCGTGAAAAAGATGAAATTTATGTGTAAAAGAAATTTTGGAGGGGTAAAGTTTTTAGATACTAATAGAACAGCAGAAGAAACTGTTTATTTTAAAAAAGAAGGTTATTTTTTTTTTTTTTTTTTTTGCATTACTATTGTTTCTTTTAAATATCTTATTATAAAAGTAATTTCTATTTAATATGGATATCATTATTCTTTTTTTTTTTTTTTACAGATGAAGCATTATTAAGAAATTTACTTAAAAATAATCCTAATCTTAACCCTAACTACGATTTAACTGATGTTGAAAGTGGAGCAGAGAATTTATCAAATGATTTATCACTAGTTTTTTCAAAATATGGTATAAAAGGATTAAATAATAATCTAATGAAAGACTTGATTAAAGTATTTGAGTTAAATGGATATAGAAAAATGTTAGATCAATAGAATAATTATTTGAAAAAAAAAGAAAAGTATAATATGTAATTTATTAAATTTTTAAATATTCTATATAATATTGTATAAGATAAAATTATCGTTTATTTTTTAAAAATGAAATATGCGTTTTACTTAACACCAAGAATTGTTTAAACATTGTTATTTTCATATTTTCTAAAATATTTATTTGTTATCTTTTTTTTCTAAATATATTATTTTCCTTCTTTTTTTTTTTTTTAAGTACTGAAAAATTTTAGTATAATTTATTTTTTTATTCTTATAACGCTTTATAATTATATCTTTCAATCTATAAAAAGTAAAAAATTTTATGTAATTATTATCCTTTTGAAAAAAAAATTTTTTTCCTTATTTTTTGAGTACTTTAAATAAAAAATAAATGAAAAAAAAAATTTTATGATGTGCAAAATAATTTTCATAAAATGTTCACAGAAATAGTGATGTTAAAAAAGCTATAAATCAATAGCAACCATATACATCAATTTTTTTTTTTTTTTTTTTAATCTTTTCAAATGTTAAAAAACACAGTAATTATATCTTTAAAAAGAAATACAAAATAATGAAAAAATAAAAAAAAAAAAAAGGGTTATAAGAAAGATTATTATAATTATATTCTTTTTTTTTTTTTTTTTTTTTTTTTTTTTTATGACACATCCTAGCAAAGGAAGAATGTATTTATAAGGAAAAAGGATTTAATAGATAAGTAGGTTTTTATAAAATATAATTCTTCTTCTAAAATATATTAACATGATCTTTAAATAGGAAGAGAATAACGTTTAAAAAATAATGAAAATAAGTAAATGGATAAAAATTTTATCATTTGATAAAAGAAACTTTGGAAGTTCATATTTAAATAAAAAATTGAAATTAATAAATGACCGAGCTTTAAAATATCACATAGATTACATTAGGTCATTAGATATACTAGAAGGAAAAAATAGAAGTGTAATGAAAGAAATTTTTCCGAATAAGAAAAGTGAAATAAATGACTTGTTTTTTAAAAGAGAAAGTAATGAAGACGAAAAAGATGAAGAGGATTTATTAAATATAGATTTAACAAAAAATAAGTATCATTATGAAATGAAAAATATGTTACTAAATGAATTTGGAGTTATAAAAATAATACATAATGATATAATTGAAGAGGAAAGTGATTGTATGTTAATACCAATGGTTTCTAATTTCATCCCATTAAGTGGATTTGGTGCTTATATATTACAAAAAGGGGGAAGAGAATTAGTAAAAGAAATATTTACTTCTATTAAGAATTTAATAAAAAAACGAATAGAAATACTAAATGAACATAAAGAAGAATATTTAAGTACTTCAACAACAATGAATAATGAAAAGGGATTTAAAGAATTAGTAGAAAACTCAAAAACATTACAAACAGGAGATTTAATACTAACAAAACCACATAATGTTAGTGATAAAGTTAAATTATTGGCTTTTCTAATTATGCCTTATTTTTGGCAAGGAAATTGTTATATATCGGCTAATAAGTTAAGATATTCTTTTTCAAATGCATTAAGACAATTAAATGAATTATGTGTTTCTTCTATTATTTTACCAAATATAGCATCAGGAATATATGGATACACACCAAATTCTTCTAGCAATATTCTAATTGAAGAATCCATTGAATCATTGTTGCAATTGAATAATACAGTTCCTATATATAATTTAAATTCTATTTCTTTTATCGATAAAGATTTAAATACATGTAAAATATTCAGTGAAGCACTTGAAGAAGTATCAAGAAATTATTTACCTCATAAAAAAGTAATGCCAGCACCAAAATATTGGAATACTGTAAATAGAAGACTTTTAGAAATACCATCTAATGTTGTTTATTTTTGTAGAAGACAAAATAAAATTTCTTTTAAAAAATACCATGGTATAATTAGGAGAAAATATCAAAATTATTACAGTAATATTAGACCATTTAAATGGAGAGCATCAAGAGTTGTTGAACCAAATCCATTTCTTGTTTATAAAAATTCAGGAGAACCTAGTTCATATCAATATGATTATAAACCATATTACTACAAAGGAATAACTCATACCCTTTATCCAATTAATAAAAAGGGATTAATAAATATAAGAATAGGAAACAAGGGAAAATTACAAGCACTCAAAAATATTTCTAATATATCTTTAGAAACAAAACCAAGACTTTAAAAAAAAGAGAAATATATATATATATATACTTATCATATTCTTTAATTATTAATTATTTTTAAATTTCTCATGAATATCAAATATATAACACTTTTTATATTTTATATATATTTATGAACTTTTTTATTAAAGCAAAATGTAAATCATATGGATGTATAAATTAATAAGTTTTTTTAAAAAAAATAAAAAATTATGTTTTTTACAAAAAAGAAAAGAAAAAAAAATATATATATATTTAAAAAAAAAATAAAATAATATTTTTATTTTTTCAAAATCAAATTTTATATTTGAAATATTTTTTAAGATAATTTTATAAAAAATGAAATTTTTACAAGTATATATACATATAATTTTTTTAATTATTTATTTATTTTTTATTTTTTATTTTTTTTTTTTTTTTTTTTTTTGTTATTTAAATTATAATATTTTTATAAATAAACATTTCTTTAAAAGTAATATTTTAGTTATGAATAATATCTTTATTAATATTACTTATGTTAATAATCATATTATGTATTCATTGGTCTAATGACAAATTTTACTTTTATGTGTATTAATTTCTTTAATTTTGAACATATAAGGCCAAGAATTAAACAACTCTCTTTTAATCAAATTAAATAAATTATGATATTGACGTAAGTGATACTTTTTATATCTTGTTTTGCATTTACTTATCAACCTGTTCTTAATTTTTTTGAGAAGTTTCAGACATGGATAAAGAGAATTATTACTCATATAAATGTTAGCATATTGAAAAGATTCTATAGCTGTTTCAATTAAAAATAACTTGACAAATTTAAGTTTTCTATTTTTGATTAATGACCTTTTCATATAAGAAATTAAATATAATATAAATTTTGTGTTATAATTAGAATTATAAAAAGCATTAAACATATGCTTTAAAGTTTTAATAGAACATATAAATTTTAATATGGATGTTTTTAGCAAAATAAAGTTTTTTTTATAGCAAAAATATATATTTTGCTTATTTTTATATAATGTTTTATATTTCTTTTGTTTTGATATAATGTTTCTAACTATTCTATTTTCTACTAAATTTTTCATAAATGTATTTTTATTGTTTTTATCAACAATTATATTGTTCAAATGTAAATGGTTTCTGATAGTAGCATCACTTTTATTTTTCCATGGATATGTTGTACTATGAACAGAATTATTTAATAAATCAAATGTATATGAATTATTAAGCCATTCTAAAGAAACAACAGAACCTATTCTTTGATTTTTTATCATATTTTTTAATTTTTTTAATCGTCTAATATCCTTATTAATTTTAAGTTTTTTATTATGAAGCATTTTTCTTTTAAAATTTTTTTTTTTTTTTTTTTTTAACAACTTTATTACTCTATCAATTTCAAAAGATGTTAATTTTTTTTTTTTTTTTTTAATATTTTTCATTTTCACATTTTGAATTTTATGCAGACAGTTATATGTATTTATATATTTGCTCTTTATATTGTTTAGAGTGTCTTTATTAAAATTATTCAATTTCCTATTATCGGAAATATTAACATTTTTTTTGCATAAATTATTTGATGATATGCTATATTTTAAGCTATTTAACCTATTATAGCATATATCAGTGTTATCTTTTTTTTTTAATCCTCCCATTTTCTTAGTTTTTAAAGTATTTAACTTTACTTTTTTATTTTTCTTATGCTTCCTAATAGTATTATTAATTAGTAAATTATTCTTATAAATCAATGGAAACTTAAAAATTTTTGTCTTAGATGAATTGATATTACTTCCCCATATTTTTTTTTTTAATAACAAATTTTTAAATTTTCTAATATTTTTTTTATTGAGGGTTATAAATAAAAAATCGTCTATGAATCTAATTAATAAAGAATTTAAATTTAAGTATTTTGATACCCCGTCTGTTTTTAACGAATATTTCTCGTTTTTATTATCTGCATAAAGTAACTTTTGAAACTCTTCATTTTTATCTAAATAAGCATAATACAAGGAACATAAAATATTGGATAAACTAAATCCTTGTGGTAAACCATTTATATTACTAATAATTTTTTTATCTAAAAAATTTAAGACATGTTTTTCTGATGATATTTTATTTAAACCATTATTTTTTTCTAATTTAATTAATTCTTTATGTTTTTGTTTGTATATTTCTCTTTTCATATGTTTCTCAATATGTACGTTATTTTTATTATTACTTTCGCTTATATAAGCATCATTAATAATATTACTACTAATTACTTCACAATTTTTAGTTTTACTCAAAGTATCATTATCACATTTCTTATTTATTCTGTTATTAGATTCATGAGAATCATCTTTTTCTAATTGATTTATATTGAATTTTTTTATTTTTTCTAATTTTCTTGAGTTTCGTAAACTTAAATATAAATATCTTTTTTTTTCTTCTTTAAAAATTTGAAAATAAAAAATATTTTTTTTTTTATATTTTATTTCCTTAATGCTAAAATATATGTTAAGATAATAATATCTAATAACAGTTATAATAGTCATAAATATATCTCTTTTTTCCACCAAAACACTTTTATATGAATCAGCAAATATATATAAATCATTCATTGATTTATTTTTAAATAATTGCTTTAATAAAAAATTAAGCATCAAATTTTTATTTGATTTTACAATTAAATCCCTTAGATTATTTATATAATGAATACCAAATTTTTCTACATTAACTGGATAATATGATAACAATGAATTATTTAAATGTTTATTAAATAATCGGAATGATCTTTTAAATAAATATATAAATTCAAAATTTGATATGCCTTCAAAAAATGATTTTAAAATTTTAAATAAGTAATTATGATTTATATGTTCGTAACAGTTAGAAAAATCACCTACACATATATATGCATAAATTCTTTTATTATTTTTTAATTTATTTTTTATAAATTTTTTTGTTTTTTTTTTGCGATAAAGATAATTTTTTATATAATTCAACCATTTTTGTAATTTCATTTCTATTTCATTTGTTTTTGTTATAGTATTTTTAAATAAGGAACTTTTATTATGTCTAATATTGCCTAAACATTTCAAAGAAAAATTACAAATATTATTTAAAGATACAGGATTAAAATTCTTTCTATTATATTTTTTTTTTTTTTTTTTTTTTTCTTTATCTTTTTCTAAATAATTTAAAATATTATGAAGATAAAATTCACTACTTTTTTTATTTTTTAAAATTTCTAAAATTTTATGTTTTACACTTTCAGGTATATTCAACGTTGATAAATTAATCAACGGTCTTAACCCTTTTTTTTTAGGTACCCAATTTATTCTTAATTTTTTAGAAAAAAAATTATTAATAGAATTCAATTTAAGCGAAAAGTTTCTTTTTTCTATAATACATTTCATTCTATATATATAAATTTTTTTTTTATCATTTCTATTACTTTTATCTATACCTTTTCTTTTGTTCACAATTTTCTGGTTTTTAAAATAATTTTGTTCCTCATGAGTATTAGGTATATTTTTTTTTTTTTTTAATTTTTTCCTTAGAATAATGGAACTACACAATTTCTCTTTTATTATCTTTTTTCGTAATACTTTTTTATTAACCTTTTTTTTTATTCTATTAATTAATTTAATGAATCTTTTAATATAATTTACTTTTTTATTTTTAAAAAAATATTTACTAATATAATTCAAAATATGTTGCTTTTCAGTAGCATAATTAATATAATTTATAAATTCTTTTTTTGATTTGGGTTTTAATTTGCACTTCATCCTATAAATGATATATTTTTTTTTTAATGAAAAGTATTTTTTTCTTATTTTATAATAAAATTTATTTAAATATGGTCTGACATTTTTTTTATTAAGCACTCTCATATTATATAAATTATCAATACTTTTATGTAATTTATCATTTATTTGCTTGGAATAATTGTTTAATACTTTAATTTCATTATTTTTTTTATTATTTGTTTGATTTCTTTTTACTTCATTTACTTGATTGAATATTTCACTTTTAATTTTATTGTTTCTCTTGCTGATATTATAAATTGATTTTATTTTCCTTTTTTGTATTTTTTTTTTATTATTTACTCCTTTTTTTATATTTTTGTTAATTTTCTTTCTTTGATTAACTATAACTTTTTTGCCTTTTTTTTTTTTTTTTTTTAATTCTGATGTATTTTCTTCTTTTTTTTTTATTTTCTTACTTCCAAAATTTTGGTGATATAAAGAAAAATTGGAAATTTTTGTAAAATAATTCCATAGTTTCCTATCAAAGTATATAGTTTTGTGAACCGTCTGTTCAGATTTAGTAAGAAAAAAAAATTTCCTAATTATAGGCATAATAAAATAATTAAATAGAAAATATATTAATCTATTCATTAAATGTCTTTTTTGAATTGATGTGTTAATTTTTTTAACTTTATTAAAATATTGTCTTTTTAATTTATCAAAAGGAGTAGAATTTCTATAATAATGGATTTTTCCGTTTAATTTTACATATTTTATATAATTTAAATTATTTTCGTTACCTATAGATTTAAAAACATTTTGAAACCTATTTATATTTTTTAATTCTTTTGAGTATTCATTTGTATTATGATATTTATACTTATTTATTTCTTTTTGAAAAATGTTTTTTACTTTAATATTCTTCATTACTTGATCCATTGAAAAACTCTCCTTAAAATGAAATAATAAAAACTTTTTGACATTTTTTAAGAAAACTTTGAAATTATGCTTTCTTCCTAATAGCTTGACAGGTATACATTTTTTAGTTATATAAACCATAAAATTAATAACCTTATATGTTTTGAAAGAAAAAGAAAGAAAATCATAATTTTTAAAAAAAAAATCATAAGTTTTTTGTTTAATAAACTTTCTATTTTTTCTTATATTTATAATACGATATTTCTTTATTATATTTAATTTTATTATCTTAAAAATTTTTGCAATTCTATTTATAGTATATTTTTTTGGAAAAAATTTATTGTATACTTTTTGAAACTTTGTATTTCTTACATTATTTATAAATTCTTCAAAATAGGTATACACATATTTAAGTATTTTTGTTTTTTTCAAACGCGACCATATATTTTCATGTTTATCATTTTTCTTTATTCCATGCTTTTGAATTTTATCTTTTTTTTCTATGTCTAATAAAATATTTTCTTTTTTTGATATGATGGATGAAATATCATTTTTTTTTGTAAAACATTTAATTTGTTTAGAAATTTTTTGCTTATATTCATCTATAAAATTGTTATGATAAAAATATTTTTGATCTGATTTAAAAATATAATTCAGTAAATGGTAAGTAAATAAAGATGTTTTTTCTATTTTATCAAAGATAATATGTTCATTAAATAAAAAATTTTTATATTTATTTGTAGTATTATGCTGTAATATATTGTTTCTATTTATTATTATTTTATTCCACCCCTTTTTATCATTTGTATATTTTTTATTATTATATTTTTTATCCTTGTAAAATTCTTCATTTTGTTTTTTATCACTATAAAAAAATTTTATCTGTGGTAAAATAATTTTTTTTTTTTCTTTGTCATCATATTTCTTTTTTTTTATTTTTAATTCTTTTTTTTTGATTACATTACTTTCATTATTCTTCTTCTTTAATTCATTTGCTTCTATTTGAATTTCTTGAATTTCTTTTAAAACTTCATTTTTTAATATTCGTCCACTACACTGAAGCAAATATAAAAGTTTTACATATGTATGAGAATCATTAATTTTATATTCTCTTTTTTTCTTTTTTAATAAATATTTATATTTTTTATCTATTGTTCTTTTGTGCTTTTTTTTTTTTACTTTTTTATCAGTTGCACTATAAATTATTTTTTCTTTTTTGCAATTACGAAGCATATTTGTTTCTTTAAGATTTTTTTTAATATTCCTTTTATTTAAAAGGATTTTGTAAGAGCATAAATTTGTCTTATTATCGTTTTCATATTTAATTAAACTTTCTTTTATATTACATTTGTGTTTTTTATTTTTATTTATACTTAAATCCTTTTTTACATTTATATTTATCTTTTTATCTACCTCATATTTAATTTTATCTTCTTTTATAATGCAATTTTTTTTTTTTTTTTGTTCATCTTCATTTATACCTTTTCTTGCATTTACATTTATATTTTGACCTTCTTCCTCTTTAATTATAATATCTTTTTTTATATTCCGTTCTTCTTCTTTGTTTGTTTTATCAATGCTTTCTTTTATATTTTTTTTTTGGAAAATTATTTGCAACTGTTTTGTGTCATAAAATAATTTTTTTTTCTTTGAAAAATTTTTATTTTCAATTTCTTTGCTATCTTTGTATTTTAACTCTATTTGACTGACAATTATAAAAAAAGAATTTTGAAGAGAAAATTTTTTATTAGAATTATCAAAAAGGAAATCAGATATAAAAATAAGAGTATTAGACAATAAATAATTTAAAAAATCAAAAGAAACATAGTTAAAGAAAATATCCCATAATTTTAAACCATAAAAAAAGTCACAACAATTTTTATCTTCATAAGAATATTTAGTTGAATTAAATAATAAAATAGAATTATTGAAAATTTTACTTTTTTCATCTAGGCCTTTTTCATTTAATTTTTTTTTTATTTCACTATAGCACTCCTTCCAATTAGTTATTGAATTATTTTCTTTTTCTTTAAAAAAAATATCATCAGTTAAATTATTTTCGAGTTTTCTTAATAATAAATCTTCCATCAACAACACATTTTTTAGAAAATATTGAAAGTAAAAATCATCCTGAAAAAAATCTTTATTTAAGATTATTTCATTTATAATAAATAGCTTATCTTTCTTCTTTTTAGAAATTACATGATTTTTTAGAATACTTGATAAAAATTTTTTCTGAAACTTCTCATCATATTTAAGAGAAAATTCACCAAGTGTATAAGAATTAATTTTTAGTTTATTTTTTAAATAAGATTTAAATATTTTTATTTTTTTGTCTGTACATTTAAAAACTTTTTTTAAATAGAAATTTTCTTTTGATAATTCATTAGTCATATTAGAGAAAAAACCTATATAAGTGTTATATAAATTTAATAATTTCTCATCAAACCATTTAAAACAGATTTTAAATTAATAGAAAAATACGTATAATCTAATTTTTCTACTTTAATTGGTATTTTTTTTTTTCACCGAATAATTAAAAATTCCATGCTTAAAAAATTAAAAAAATTCTTAGCTAAATAAAACATGAGCTAATTGTTGCAATAAAACTTTATGGTAATAATTATTTTTTAATAAAACCTTTGCTTTCATTTTAAAAAAAAAAAAATATTCTTCTTTTCATTATATTCAAATTTCTTTATATATTTCTCATGGTAAATTATCAAATGCACTATATTAAGTTTATAAAATAATTATTATGTATTTAAATATTTACAAAAATATATACAAATGAAATCATATTATTCATATTGTTGAGGCTCTAAGAAAAAAATTAAAAAAAAAAATATAAACTTTATTACGTCGTAGAATAATGAAAAAATAAAGAAAAAGAAAAAAATTTAATAGAGTTACTAAAATGATATATCGTGGAATTATAAAAATGAAAAAAAAAAAAAAAAAAAAATTCAAACGATTTTTAATAAATATATATTCTGGCTCAAAATTTTCATATATTTTAAAATAAGCATTCAAAGACTTACACAATTTTTAAAATAAGAAAGAAAAAAAAATATAATAAATAAGTGAATAGTTTAATTAATAGTTTATAGACCAAATTAGTAAATGAATAAATAATTTCACATATTCGTTTAAATAAAAGAACAAAATCTCATATTATAAGAATGAGAAATATATATATATATATATATATATATAAATATGTATAAAGGGAGAAAAAGAGAAAATGTAAGATCATAAATTAACAAAAAGTATTCTAAATACAATAAAAGGAGTTTTAAAAATGTGTATAATTAATAATTATAGTTTTTGATATACTATAAAAAAGTAAAATATAAAGTAGGAAATACAATGGATAATATTTTTTATTTTTTTTAAATTATACATATATATATATATATATATAATAAAATAAAATAAACAAAAAAAAAAAAAAAAAAAAAAAAAAAAT